GACTTCACTCCTTACAGCAGTTATTTTTCTAAATCACGCACTCAGCCGTCCGCTGTGGCTGCCTTATCACTCTGAGGCTCCTGTTACTGGGTTCCCATGCTGCCTTTTCACCTGTGTGGTGGGCTCCTTGAGGACAAGAACAGAAAAGCTGTGCAGCAACTGTAATGTTAGAACCTGAATGTAAAATCGCACCTTGCTCCAAGAGAACGAAATACATGGCGGTCACACCACCACTAGCCTACCTTAGGCCCATGGCAGGCCTTGCCAATTGGTCACCGCTGCATTTGCTAACAGACTGAAGGCAGCCTTTTTAAAAATTTTATTTTACTGTATTTTTTTATTGAAGTACAGTCAATTACAATGTGTCAATTTCTGGTGCACAGCACAATGTCCCAGTCATGCATATACATAAATATATTCATTTTCATATTTGAAGGCAGCCTTATAGTCCTTCTCAACAAAGCTCTCCAGTCATCTCTGTCAATCCATCAGAGTGGTCATGTGAAAAACCTGACAGGTGATCCCTGATTCAAGGCCAACAGATGAGGAAATTAAGGTCCAAACAGGAACTAGATGAATAACTCATCTAGGGACTTGGCAAAACGGAGACCAGATGGGTCCAACACCCAGGATTCCTAACCTCCAGCCTAAGGCATGTCCCACCCAAAGCAGATGTCTGAGAAGCATTTACTGATGATGATAATGCCAGTTTCCTCTGCCTCTGGCATCATCTACCCTCCACATTTGGGGATCAAAGAGAAAGGAAGATTGGAAGAAACCAACAAAACCTCAACAAGGAAGGCCAAGAACAACTGTGAAGTAATGAGAACATGGAATCTTTTTTTTTTTTTTGAAAAACTTAAGAAAACCACATGGGATCAGCCCCAATTCCTTCAAGCTCCCACTTCCCTCTTTGATTGGCACATGGAGTTTGTAATTTTCTCTCTCTGCTGCTCCATTAAAATGTTAGAAAGAATGTATGTATGCGTATGTACGACTGGAGCATTATGCTGTATACCAGAGATTGGCACACTGTAACTGACTATAAGTCAATTCAGAAAACAACAAAAAAGTTGGAACTTAATCCAGAGTATGCCTGCAGTCCTTTGCTCCAGTACTATCCATCAGGAAGGTGCCCAAACTGTCTTCTGTCCGTTACTGTTTCTCATTCCCATCAAGTCTCAGACTGAGACCTGCATATTTATGCCATGAGTAAAGCTCTTGTAGCTTCTCCCCTAAAACTATCCGTCTTCACACCTGAATGGATAGTTCTAGGATTTAATAAACAAGCCCACCAACATCCTTTTTTTTAAACATAAATTTGCTCCATTATGGAAGCAACCTTCAGTGAGTAAGTCAGTTAGCTTTATTATTGAAATCAATGTGATGCCTATAAAGTGAAACAAAGGCAGCTCTTTAATGATAAATATTACAATACAGCTACTTGTCACATGTCTCCAAACACACACATTGTGAGCCATTCATTGAAGTATAAATAAGAGACAGCCAAGTGACAATTCAGCTACAAGAAAAACAGCATAAGGGATTCAAATGTGAAAGTTGGTCACCTTGTATATAAATAAGCATATTTTACCAAAGCAGTGTTGACCTGGAAGGAAATATCAGTAGAAAGGAAAATATGAAAACATTAGAAGGAAGTGCAAATTAAAGGAAGCACCACAAATTTGAATTCAGCATTGTTCACACTCCATACTTCAGGATCTAACAAAAAAGAATTATTGTTGCTTTTGTTTGTGTAACTGCACTATGATTTTGTTTTAAAAGTTCCTGACTGGAAAAAGAAATTGTGGTATATTTATACAATGGAATACTACTCAGCCATAAAAAATAACAAAATAGTGCCATTTGTTGCAACATGGATGGACCTGGAGATTGTCATTCTCAGTGAAGTAAACCAGAAAGAGAAAGAAAAATATATATCACTTACATGTGGAATCTAAAAAAAGACAAATGAACTTATTTATAAAATAGAAACAGAGTCACAGACAAAAACAAACTTATGGTTACCAGAGGGGGAAGAAGGTGGGAAGGGATAAACTGGAAGTTCGGGATTTGTAGATACAAATTACTACATATTAAATAGATTAAAAAAAAAAACCAGGTCCTACTGTATAGCACAGGGAACTATATTCAATATCTTGTAGTAACTTATAATGAAAAAGGAAATGAAAATGAATATATGTGTGTATATGTATGACTGAAACATTATGCTGTATATCAGAAACTGACACAACACTGTAAACTGACTATATTTCAATAAAAAAAGAATAAAAGATAAAAACGCTCTTACAAATAATATTCACAAGTGAAACGGGCTTTGTTTTAAAATACTCCAGCAAAGAGAAAAATCAAAGAGATGGAAGAAAAGATGAAAGCAAAATGGCAGTGATGCTAATTGTTGAAGCCGGGACATGGATATATGGGGATGGATTCCACTATTCTGTCTCCTCTATGTATGAAGATTTCTATTATAAACATTAACAAATAGTTTTACCTATTGAATTAGTCAACAGACAGTGAAATACGCACATATTCCAAAGCTGGGGTTGTGAGAGTGGCTGGTGGGAGTGGTCCCTAGTTTGAGCTGCACAGACAACAGGGTTTCAGCCATGTCTCGAGAGGACAGAGTAGGGGAGGGATAGGGAGGTCAAGGTCAAGGGCCTGGAGAGCCTTCTGGGAGACAGGAAGGGCCTTCTAAAGGAAGACAATGTTGGACAAACAAGCCCAATTTAGCCTTAACGCCTTAGCCCTCGGAGAGGTGCTATGACACGGTTATCACCATCTGGACTTATCTACAAGCCCAGCCGTCTCTGGACTTCTGTGTGGGTCCAATGCGGCAGGGAAGAGAGTAAGTTAACACGAAAAGAACGATTCCATTAACCTCTCTGGGGCACAAGTTCCATTGCTAAGTAACCCATCAAACGGAGAGCAATGCAGAGGCCAGACTGGCAGCCCACCTCCCTCCTCCACCGACCATCAACCAACTCGGGGATCTCAAGGCCCCCTGGACACTAGCAGCTGTGGCACTGGCTCCATTCTCATCCACTACGTTGGGCCACAGAGTGGCCCTCAGCCAGTTATGAGGTAACGTGCAGCAGAGCAGGACACAACCACTGTCTTCCGAATCCACATCATCACGAGGGAGGGTAAGCCTCAGGCACTTGTTGATATCAGAGACGAGCTCACAGGAGCAAGTCCAGAAAGGAATGATGGAACAGAGGTTGATCACTCCTGCAGCAAGAACCGTCATTTTCTGAATAAATGGCACAGGTTTTCCCACGTCTACCCAGGAGAGCCTGAAAGACCCCAAAGGGCCTTGGCAGGAACCACACCAGGCTTGAGGGAACTGGCTCGGGTACAACATCCTGGTGGAGGTAGTATCAGCATTTGCCACGACTGCAAACTGTCACCTGCCAAGTGACTCAGAGGAGAACCTGGCTCTTGGCCTACCAGCTCCTACAGTGAGGACCAGGAGGGGCTGGGAATGCACCTGGGGGTAAATGCATCCCAGGAGGGGGGTTGTGGCACTTCTGAAAACAGCATGGGGAAGTCATGAAGGTATCGTGCCCCTCCCTATATATTTCCATCTGAGCCCTTTGTGATGGAGGAAGTAATTAAAGAGTGAAAGAACTACTTCAAGGAGACTCTGGTAGACCCTGGAGTCCAAAAGCACTGCTTTGGGATGGACACACCCTTCTACCGCTGGTCCCACAAAAGCGTAACACAGAGGAAGAGAGGCATTTTCTTCTGTGGCATCATGGACCACCAAGGGGCTTGCATACCTTAAGGGTTCAAGTGCATCAAGGCTAACAGCTCCCAGAGGAGACTGTGGGGCTGCGGAAGCCCTGGTACCCAGTGGGAGTGGCGGCATCACCTCCACTGTGCCTGAAAGGAAAGGTCTGCAAGGAGAGAAGAGCAAAGTGCTCAGGACACTGTGTGCTTGGTTAGAGATGCTATGAATACACAGGCCCTCTACCCCAGCATGTCCCTGAAATAACTAGGGAGATACAGCAGAGGCCACTGCAGTAACAGATGGATGCACACTCCATGTCAACAAGGGAATAGTGAAACTGGCAGACTCACACACTGCTGGCATAAAAATCAGCTCAATTCACTTGGAAAGCTATTTGGCAATTTGTTACAAGGGCCATAAATACATTCGGTCTTGTTCTTGGAGATATGTCCTAAGGAAAGAATCCGAAAGAAGGAAATAGCTTGGAGGCATCAAGATGTAGCATCGTAATTTTAGGGGAGGCAACAAAAATGTGCAATGGGAAATGTTTAATTAAAGCACACACATCCATTTTAATGGGACATGGTGACATTTAAAAAGGATACATTTCAAGACTTTCTAGCAACGCGGAAGAATGCACAATTCCAAACCCTGAGTTTAAAAAGCAGGGATCAAAATAGTTTCCTCGCCACGACCAATTGTATAAAAACATTAGCGCACATGGACAGAGACGATAAGCCCTGCACAAACGTAGCAACGGATGCTTCTGTGATCCTCTCCCCACAAGCGGTTTACCTCCCACGCTTCCCAACTTCCCCATCTGTTGATCAAGCATCTTGAAAACGAAACAAGGGGACTATTACTACACATGTCAAAAGATAAACTGGAAAATAACAAAGACCACCGGGCAGAAGCAGACCAGAGGGTTTAGGAATCTGGGTTCTTCTTTAGATGGGTTATCACCGGACAGTTTCAAGCTTGTGGGTTGGGCAGCCTTGGCTTTCCAGCAGCCTTGCCCACGGCGACTGTTTGAGCGGAAATGGGAGCCGGCGAGCCCTGAGGGCCGCAGTCAAGACCTCCCAGGAGCGCTCCCTGGGACAGAGGACAGAGGGGGCTCAGAGGACAGCTGTGTCTGAGCTCAGCGGGCAGAAGCCCCAGGGGGAAGCTTACACAAACCAGCCAGGGTCGGCTCTGTTCCCGTTCCCATTCTCCACGCACCATCCCACCCCAAGGGGACGGGACTCACCACTCAGGGCAGACGTGCTGTTCTCCAGGGCCTGGCACACAGCCAACAAAATACCTGTTGCGGGGAGAAGAGAGGACAGGTGAGAGGCTGCTCAACATCCAACTTTCCCAGGCTTCGAGGGTCGGCCCCTTGAAAGGGAAAGAGTCGGTAGTTTACAAAGTGGCCAACAGGCAGGCTTGGTGACGTAATTTGGGCAGCTCAGTGCGAAATGAACACGCAGGACCCTTGGTGCAAAAAGCAGGAAAAGATGATCATGCTAAGTGAAATAACTCAGTCAGAGAAAGACAAACATCATATGGTATCATTTATATGTGGAATCTAAAAAAGGACACAAACGAATTTATTTACAAAGCAGAAAGGGAC